AGGGAAAGGGAGCAAACTCTGCCTCTCCCAAACTTCAGAGCATCCCCAAAATGAGCGCAGAAGAACGTGGTGAACAAAGCCCAGGGGCCTCAAAGCAGTGCTGAAGCCTTGGAACTCCTCAAACTCTGCTCTTTCCTGACCCCAGGGGGTTGTGGCTGCTGGGCTGGCTGGTGTGGGGGCAGAACTGCTCCCACCTCCTGCTCGGTTTGACCCCCTGCCAGGCAGTCAAAGGATGCACCAGGGTTCAGCATCTGGAATGAACCTTCTTACACTGATAAACCAAACACCCTCACAGGGCTGAGTCTCTGACTGAGCACCACAGTGGAGTGGTGATTAGCACAGCACAGCAAGAGGAGCCTGGGGATGGCCTGAGGGCTCTCAGCTCTGGCACTGCCTCAGAGCCCTGGAGCTCTCCACTGCTAATGGAAACAAGGGAAAATGGGGACAGGAGACAGAGAGGAACATCCTGGAACAGGCTGCCCAGGGAATGGTGGAATCACCATCCCTGGAAGTGCTCAAAAAACATGGAGTAGTGGCGCTCAGGGGCACAGTTCAGGTTTGGGATTGACAGTACTGAGCTGACAGCTGAACTAGATGATCTCAGAAGGCTTTTCCAGCCTTAAGGATGGCATGATTCTATGATCTTGATATTTTCAGGTCAGTGTTCTGAATTTCCCACCACCCCTATCCCAGCCTGCCTGACCTTTAGGCAAGTCGGAGACAAGACCGAGGTGAAGGATGCTGTTTGGTTGTTGCCAACGGGCGCAGGACTGACACTGCCTGGAGCATTCACTTCCTGACAGCCAACCAAAACCATCCTGCAAAGCTGGGCCCATCAGTAGAGCCACAGCAGCTTTTAAGCAGAGGTTTTCTACTCACCTGGTTCTGTAACTCAGCTAATCGCTGACTGCAGTGAGCGTGAGACTCCTCCTGTGAAGAAAACACAAAGATTTCATTTTAGTCTGCAGCTTGGTCAGGGCCATGGTTTATACTTGACTACCATTAGGTCTCTGCTGGGGGGCTGCTGCCACTGGGATTTGCCCTTGTCCCTCTGTACAGCCAGAGCCTCCTCCCACCAAGGAAGATTCTGTTCTCACCTGTCTAGAGGCGGACACTTTGTGCTGATCAGACTGGGAGTGAGACAATCCACAGGCACCTGGGAGAATCTGACCCCTAAAACACCTCTTCAGCCTCCTCCGCTCATGCTCCACCTGCATATTGGATGGGAGAAGGGGTCACAGAAACCTGCCACCAACCAAGGAGCAAAAGGACCTCTGGGCATTGAGGTAAGGAGATCTCTGCTCAGAGACCCTTAATTGCACCAGAGAATAAAAAAAGGGCTATGTGGGCTATGGAAAAGAGCCAAGTGTGTGTCTGGGGACACTGGGGAAAGGAGGGTGGCACTGCAGTGAAGGTCCATTTGTGAAGGCCACGGGGTGCCAGAAGAGAGAGGAAAATGCAGAGGGTGTGCCCACAGCAGGAAGGAGAGGGAAGGAAACAAGCACAGGACACCAAAGTGCTGCCTGGGCAAACATGTCGTGGTTCAGAGGGCCATGAGGCTTTGCAGAGGAAGCAAAAGCCCATTTTACCTGCTCAAGAGTCCTCCTGAGCTCAGCATTTTGTTGCTTCAGCTCCACCTTCTCATCTTCCAGCCTTGCAACTGTTCGCTGCAGACATTCCAGGCTCTGCAATGTGAGTCTCTTCTCTGAGAGCCACGACAGCTGCTCCCCTTCTGCCACAGCCTGCTGGGCATTGAGAGAGGAGACTCCATGAGCTGGTGCCACGTCAAGGTTAGAAAGGTGTTAGAACCAACACTTCAGGCAGAGTGACCTCAACAGGAATGGAAATGCTGAGGCCCTTCTCCTCCTGGTGCACAGCCCAAAGCAACACACCCTTTCTCTAGGGGCCCTCCTCCAAATCAGCTTGGAGAAGTGAGCTGTTTGTTCTGGATGTGCTTTCTGCTACTTTTGTTCAGTGTCCCCTATTCTGGTTTTGAGAGAGACTGCAAACATTCATTTCCTATTCAGCCACTTCATAGTTTTACAAAGTTCTAGAGTGTCTCCAGCTCCCTCTCTCAGCCATTTCATGCCCATCGTGAAGACTTCCACATTTACACCTTCCTGTTAGGGAAGTTATTTACCACCTTTGGTCATCCTCTTTGACTCCCACTGT